CGCTTTTCCAGCTCCAGCTTCTGCTTCTCCAGGTTGACCAGCACGTGGGGCTCGTCGTAGGCGGAACGGGACGGCGTGGAGTTCAGGGTGAAGAACTCCTCGATGTGGGGGAAGTCGGGGAGTTCGCTCTCCCTCCTGGAGTCCGGGATGACGGCCGACAGCATCTCCTCCTCCTCCTCGATCTCAAACTAGAAGGACAAAGCACTTTTCAGGACGTCTCTCTGCTTCGGCGGGTAATGTGTCTAAACACTGCTTTAAAGCTGTGTGCACCGTGCGAGCACAGAAAACCACTGGGGTTTTGAAAGACATTTACCAAGACTTGCCTGTTGTCACCAATACAGGTGACCCTTCAACAACGCGGGCTGGAGCTGTGCGGGTCCGCTTACACGTACATTTTCTCGCTCAGTACGGTGCAGGACTGGAAACGGATCTTCTCTTACAACTTTCTTAACTATTTTCTATAGCTTGCTTCATGTTAAGAATACAATATATGGTACACATAACATACAGATTATGTGTTAATTGACTCTATGTTAATGATAAGGCTCCCCGCCAACCGCAGGCTGTTAGTAGTTAATTTGGGGGAGTCAAAGCTTATACAGGGACGTTCGATGGTGTGGAGAGCCAGCACCCTCACCCACCCACGCTGTTCAACCGGGTATGTAATTAAGAGAAGGATACGTGGGTTAAAAGAGAGATTCGTGACCGGAAGAGCAATGGAATGACACTGTTAGGTCAAACTTGTGAGTTGGCTTGAAAACTGGGATCTTAACTGGGCCCGGACTATCACAATCCCCCACGTCAGAACTGGAGGAATAAAAGGAGAAAGAGGATTCCCAGGCCAGTACTTACTTCGGGACTCTGGGGGTCTCGTTCCTCCTCTTCCACTTTGACCTCAGTTAAGGATGCACCTGCATCCCTGAAATCCGCCACGTTCTGCCAGTCAAAGTTGGGATCGTTTCGGAATGCAGTCTTGTCGTCCATCTCTTCGGTGAGAGAGTCGTCTAGGTCGGAGGTGGGGAGGGGGCACCCTGAGCCAACCAGCTTAATGTTGGCCTTCATCCTCTTTCTCTTCATAAGCGCCCGCCAGTCCAGGTACCTTCTCTTCACCTCCGTCCCTGTCCTCTGCTCGCCTTCCCCCACGGCGTTCACACACTGTGCGATCTCCTCCCACGCCATCCGCTTCATCACATTAATCGTCGTGTTGAGCTGCTTGGAAAAAATGACTTCTTTGCGTTTGGTAATTTCTTTCAAAAGGGTCTGAGTTTCTTGAACACTGAAGTTGCTTTTCCTCTTCCTTTTCAACTGCTTCATTTTCCTGGCTTAAGTGCAGAGTTTTCACGGTCAGAGAAGGTGTGAAAAGCTGACAAAGGCTACAAAGTACAAAAATCAAGAGCAGTCCCTTCTTGGCGCTTTGTCTCAATCAGAGTCTTCCGCTCATCTGGTAGCACGGGCAGGCTGGACAATTCCTAAAGAGAAAAGTAGAAAATCAGTCCACTTGCAACTTTGCAACGCACCTCCACCCAAGAAGCTGGACACACGTCCCTGTAAATGCGGTTCAAAACCGCCCACCCTCTGCCTCTGCGGTTGTCACCCCTGTCCCTGACCGCTTGTTCTCACCTGGGCTCCCGCTAGGGCTCCTCACCGCTGGCTGACGCTCTTGGCCTGCTCACTCTCCTCCACCCCCAGTTACTTTTCTGCTCCAGCCACACTGGCCTTCCCATTACCCGTTCTGTCCACCCCTCCCCTGCTTGGAGCCTCTGCACACACGGTCCCCTCGGCCTAGGACATGGATACCTGACAAAAATTATGCACTTGTTTGCGCATCAGATCCTAAGTTCAGTGAACATTCTAGAACACTTGTAATGTTAAAGGATCACATTTAATTAGCACTCTGGCCTAACATTCCTTAGGTAATTTAAATTATAAAATGGGCTGGTCAAGTACTCAGCTTTCCTCTAGAGGTGACTTACGAGGTACTATATTTATAAACTAGGTTTATTTATTTTTTTAGATTTTTTAACGTTTATTTATTATTGAGAGAGTGAGACAGAGCATGAGCGGGACAGAGAGAGGAGGAGACACAGAATTCGAAGCAGGCTCCAGTCTGAGCTGTCAGCACAGAGCCCGACGCGGGGCTCGAACCCACCAACTGGGAAATCATGACCCGGGCCGAAATCAGACCCCCAACCGACTGAGCCACCCAGGTGCCCCACTAGGTTTATTTTTAAATATACTTGTGTATACCTTTTACAAGTTATATTTTTGCTTATATAGAGAACACATATACCTTTATACATGTCTTACGTATTTTTAATATACTTAGAAGAAAGAAGTGAAGCAAACTGTGCTTCACAATGTGCTCTACACATTAAAGTAGCCTGGATATGCTTCTCCTTAGTACCTGTGTTGCAGCACACACTTCAGAGAATTACTCCAGTGAAAACTGGGCTTTTTTGCCTTCCTGTACCATTGCTGCAGCACTAGGAGGGCCTGGGAGAAGTATCGAGAAGGCTCTAGGAGGATGTGGGAGAAGGATCGAAGAAGATCTAGGAGGATCTAGGAAGGTCTGGAGCCCACTGGCTCCAAAGGCTGTTATCTTCAATACCTAACACTGTGCCTAACAAACAGGAGGTACAAACACAACTTAAAATGAGGTGATGAGGGAATGGGAGAGGTCGGAAAGTGAGAGACAATAACTCAAGGAAGCTAAGCTACCAAAGCTGACACACTTCCATGGGCAAAGCATATGTTTAAAAGGAAAAGTCAGCCCAAGTCAGTATAGGCAAGAAGCAGTTTGTAAAATTACGTGAAGCCTTTAGATAAACTACCCACCCTTTCACTATGCCGAGAAACGTAAAAACATCACAAGTTCTACGAAACTGTGAAAAAGAAAATTTTAAGCAAAAATGCTATTTTGCTACCATAGTCTGTATGGATCAGTAATGAGTAGGTTATCAAAGACACATTTTTAATATGGAATCAGCAGGTTAGATGTCTTTAAAAATAGAACAGCTAAAATAATATCAAATTCCGTATCATATTAAATACTTACAATGTATTGATAGGAGTTTTTGTTTGCAAAAGATATAGAATGTTTCAGGGCATTTAAATAACTTCTTCAACCCTTTAAAAAATGCTATCATGTTTTTTAAGGGAAAAGCATGGTAAAAAACACAAATATCCATCAAAAGATTAGATGAATAAACCATACCACAGGTACGTAATGGGATATGTGCAATAAAGGCTATGTAAGAGTACGAATATGATTTAGCACAACATTATTCCTGTGTAAATGTATCTTAGATCTCCAGGCGGTTACAGCTTAATTGTGTGAAAACCTATGACACCTGATTAATGTAATAAAGTACCAAAATCAACTGAAATTTGCACCTGAGTTGAAATGTGGCCACTACCTTTGCATGGCTAAAAGCTAAGCTATGTTTCCAGGAAGTTTTTTTTTTTTTTCCTCTGTTGTTTCCTTTGCACTTTGATTCCTCTATAACATAGCTTGGATTTCTATTCTCCATTACCCAATAATGTACTCAAATATTTATTGAGCTCCTACTACGTGCCAGGCACATACTCTTGGTGCTGGGGATAGAGAACTGCTTCCTAAAACGTGCAAAGATGCCATTCCAGGTGTCCAGCACTCTCCTTTTCACACTGGTTGTGTTCCCTATCTTTGCAGAAGGCAATTCGGTGGTTGCAACCTCCAAAGATTCGCAGCTCTTGCAAGCCCTGACCCAGAGAATGGCCGTCTTCCTTAAGTCCCGGCGGACAGTCACTCCTCACTGGCTGCAAAGAGGTACAGCAGTTCGCTTACGTCATCCCTGTGAGAATGATGTACCACCAAAGGCATATTAAAACGGCATTTTTTTTTTTTTAAGGACTAACACTTAAGAATGAAGTTCCTAAACACTGCGCGAGAAGGCAAAATTAAGAGCTGTGAGAAGGACATTCAGGCGCTCAATTGTGGGCACAAACTTTTTTTTTTTTCTTTTGGTAAATTCGTTAGGTGGTTCAAGAAAAAAAAAAGGCATCACAAACTATAGAAACTTCCCCAAGTCCTCCACCCCCCCCTCCCCGCGCCCAGACGGTCTTCTAGGAAATTCGCTTCCCGGCCAAGCAGGAGAATGCTCTTGTCTCAAAGTTGTGATAGGTGGACACCTGCGGGTCACTTCAGGGCCGCCTGTCCTCCAAGCAGGTAAACGTGTCTCCCCGTCCCCGCCGCGCTCTCGGGGGGCCGCCCGCTCACAGCCGCGAGGAGGACTCGGGGCGGGCGGGGGACGGCTGCACTCCCGGGAGGCCACCTGGGGGAGGTGGCCGGGCCCCGCCACCGCACCTATGGGCAGCCTGGGCGGAGGTCGGAGCCCAGATGAGGGGCGCGGACGGGGGCTGATACAGCCCTTCCACCCGCCCCGCGCGGACTCGTGGTCCTCGCGGCGCCGTGGTCCCGCTACGACGCACCCCCAGGGCCAAAGCCAGCAGCGCAGGGACGGCCACCTGCCGCCGGGACCCTCCCCGCCTCTAGGGCACCCACCGTCCGCGGCGCTGCCGGCTCATCCAGGGCAGAACCGCTCACCTGCGACCCCGACCGCACCTCCACCCGATCGCCTCTTACGGGGCTGGGGCGGGGGGGTGGGGAGATGCCTCCCCGATTCCCCGCCCACCAACTTCGCCCGCCTCAAGCCTCCACCCATTGGATTATATGGCTGCCACTCATGCGAGACGTCTCATCCATTGGTCCAGAGGGTATTGCCGTTCTGGCCGACGGCCCGCCCCAGGTCTGGCCTCACAATGGGAATCGAGTCCCCAACCGGTTCCGGGTTAGTGCTCTGGGGTTCCGCACTCTTGTGATTCGTGGCCTCCCGCTCTGTGCTCGGGCGTTGGCGCGAAGCTCTGTCAGTCAAGTGGGCTCTAGAAGCGGATTGGTTCCTCGCGATCAGCCCGTGGCGCTTTTCCTTCTGATTGGGGCCCTGGCCGCCCCGCCTCCCAACGCTCCCTCTGTCCTTGACCCTCACCTGCTAAAAGGGCAGAGGGGAAGTGAAGCCTAGGCGTGGCCCCACCTGCGTCCTAGTCGGCTCTCACCTCCCTGTTGAGTGAGGCTCAGCTTCGCCTCCGCCGCACCTCTGAGCTCTGAGGCCTCCCCTGCCCCAAACGGTGATTTCCTTACTGCTCGACCCGACTGTCACTTAGTGTCCTTGTGTCACTTGACGCCTCCAAAAACATTTGACCTGTTGACCATATCTTAGTTTTCCTGTGTGCTTTCCTCCCTCGCTGTCTACTCCTCTGTGGCCCTTGACAGTCGCGTCGTGCACCGCCACCCTCAGTCCTTAAGTCACTGATGGCTCTGGCCATGTGGTCCCTTCTTCCCACTGTGGCCAGGGCGGCGGGTGTGCAGTTGCTGGGTGCGGCCTCAGTCCTCGCAGATAGTGCAGAGCTTTTCCAAGGGTTTCTCGGTCTTCCATCAAAATCCCTGCACAACCTCCCCGCCCCAACCGGGTTGTCTGTTTCTAGCGATGGTGGTTGGGACATTGTGTTGCATTGCATCCGCCTGTAATTTCCGCTCCCTGCTCTTCCCTGCCAGCTTCGCGGCTCGGTTCACGAGTTATTTCTAAAGGAAGCCTTCCCTTTTCTCCATTCACCGGCTTCTCCCTCCGCGTTGTCTGTCTGATGTAGGTTTCCCCGGTTAAAGGATGCTCAGCTACATCTGTAATTCAGGTGAATAACAAGGGTCAGCCTAAGTGTGGTCCAAGGCACCACCACCTGGCATCCTATTAAATCCTACGCCAACCCTTCACCTTGGGAAGGGGGGTACCCTCCATCTGTCAGCTCTTCTGACCTGTTCCATGTGGGTGGGCTTTCTTATTCACTGTTGTACTTTGTCTGCCCAGCACAGTGCCTAGAATATAAGGCACTCAAAAGAGATTTGGTGAATAAAGGATGGAATATTCCGGATGAACGGTGGATGCTTGCTGGATGTTCCTGGAGGAACTCCAGTCCACAAAATAGGAAGTGCTTGTGGAATAGGGTCTTTGAAATGTGATGATGGGTTTAATCTTCCAGATTGCACTTAAGAGTTCGTGTGAGAAGCCTGCCTATACTTTTGCCTAATTAAAACAAACAGGTGTTGTGGGTTGTTTTTTTTTTTATATGAGAACTTGGATTTTTTAATTTTGGATTTTGTTTGTGGTGGATGTTTCTCAGGTGGGAAGGTAAGACAGCACTCCATCCCAATTATAACCAGACGCTTTCTCTCTGTTCCCTTTCAGAGAATGTCCACGTGTTGAATCCATTATATTTACTTCAGTAGCAGAGATCACACCTGGAATGTGTCCGTAAGTACTAAGAACCTTCTGCTTTCATAGGAACTCTTTCACGTTCCTGTGATGAAACCTCTGTCTCAGGCTGAGTGCAAGGCCTATCCTAGATACCCTCGCTATTTTTCTCCACTGTAACTTGCGTGAGTGCAAGTGGGCCAACAAGGGAGAGACGGAGGGTCATCCCAAATGCCTAATGTCATGACCTCATTCTGAACCTGATAGTCTGTTTACTGATGTGATTTTTGCTAAGATTAGCTTCAGGCTAGAGATCTGATGCCAGGTTCTTACACACTTATTCTAGAACTGAGCCGCCCAGCCGTGGTAGCCACTAGCCAGAGAGCGCCTGAAATCTGGCTAGGGCAACTGAATAACTGAATTTTAGTTCTTAATTTTTCTTTAAAAATGGAATTCAGTCAATTCAGTGATTGGATAACTTATAGGTACGTTTGGAAAACTTGAGTTATGTGAATCTACTTTTTCAACTGTACATTTTTTGAAATCTAAATACAAATGGAGTATTCCTGATAAAAAAAAATTAGCATCGGAGTTGAGATGTACTCTAAGAGTAAAACATACACAGGATTTCAAAGATTTAGTATAAAAATGTACCGTGTCTCATTGACAATTGTCATATTGATTGTAAGTGAAATTATAAAATTTTGCATAATTGGGTTAAGGAAACTATATTATTAAAATTAACTTTACCTGTGTGTTTTTTGTTGGTTTTTTTTTTTTTTTTTTTTTACTTTTTAAAGTGAGGCTGATAGGAAATTGAATCTTCTACATGTGGTTTGCATTACATTTCTATTAGACAAGGCTGTTGTAGGCTGTGCTTGGCCACAGCTTATTGAAAGTCTCAGAATGAGAATATAATCGTTAGCTAAAAGATTTCTGTTTCATTGCCTATTGTTTAATCAAAGGGAAAGAAGGAGATCATTTGGGCTGTCTCTCCTCCAAATGCAGTTTAGTTAAGATAAATGTAGCCCAGCAGACATGTTCTAACCTACATTTTATATCAACAGTGACTGTGTTGTGCTGCATTCACTCCCCACTTTTGTCTTTGCACATGTCCTTCCTCCTGTCTTGTCCCTGTGATATAGTCTTGTTCTTCAACACCAGCTTTTCCCTGACAACCTTTGAACAGATCAACTTGTCCTTTTTCATATGAGTTTTATGCTTATAAGTCGTCTTATGTAGATTTCTCCTGAGTTGTTATTCTTCCCCTTTTATCGGTAGCACCTAACACACCACCTGGCATTTAGGCTGGCGAACACGCCTTTGGTGATTCAAACTGAACACTGACGAAATAAAACTCACTCGGTTCCGTCCTCTGCGGTGTCGCCAGATCGCTTGCAAGTTTCGTCATCTATCAGTTAAGTTATAACAGTTTATGAAGTGACATTGAAAGCTCTTCACTGGCAAATTTTGTGTTTCTAAAAACTTTACATTGAATGGAAAGCCAGCACGGTTCCTGTAGAAATGGTTGCAGCTCTTTTCCTGTGGATTTTGTTTCTCTTTACAACTGGAAAAAATAGAAGATGTTAGAACTCGAGCTATTTAAAAATGATAATCATCAAAGCATGAGTCAGGGATGGCAGGTTTTCATTTCCAAGATGAGTCTGGTATCCAATCTCCAGAAGTCACATGGGTCCCAACATTCCCGCCAGCATCCGCTGTGGGTGAGTTGCCAGTTTTGTTTCCGGTGGGAGGTTTGGTCTCTCCTGGAGTAGCCAAGGAAATAATGCGGGCCAGTCCTTAGTAGGAAATCATTCACGCTGCTTTTTCAGAGGATAATCACGGTTTTCATCCCTGTGCTCCTGGACATGGAGTTTCCCAGGGGAGAAACAGATCGACTACAAATCTATTTTTGCAAGTTGGAATGTGTGCCCTGGTGACTTTCTGTTTGGAGCCCGTTTAAAAAAATTCACTTTTAGGGGCGCCTGGGTGGCGCAGTCTGTTAAGCGTCCGACTTCAGCCAGGTCACGATCTCGCGGTCCGTGAGTTCGAGCCCCGCGTCAGGCTCTGGGCTGATGGCTCAGAGCCTGGAGCCTGTTTCCGATTCTGTGTCTCCCTCTCTCTCTGCCCCTCCCCCGTTCATGCTCTGTCTCTCTCTGTCCCAAAAATAAATAAACGTTGAAAAAAAAAATTAAACAAATTCACTTTTGGCGTATATATACTTGTGGTTTCTCTCTCCTGTTTGGCAGTCAGACCTCTTGTTGGAGACAGTTTTAACAGTTTCATGGGATGACCATCTGTATCTTTGAGTCCCCTGCAGAATGAGCTTTATTCATGCAAAATAGCCTGTATTTTAAATTGACCCATTCCAAATATATACTGAATGTTTAGTGAAGTCGATCTGGACCTTTTTGCATAATGTGTCAACAGAAAAACATGCAGAAATTTTATTTTAGTAGTAAAGATTAGTCATACTGTTTTCTCACTTTGAGAAATGACTGTCGGTGTTTGTAACCTCTTGGTTCTTTTTATGCACATTCTTTTTTTTTAATTTAATTTTTTTTATTTATTTACTTTATTTTTTAATTTACATCCAAGTTAGTTAGCATATAGTGCAATAATGATTTCAGGAGTCGAATCCAGTGATTCATCTCCTACCTATAACACCCAGTGCTCATCCTAACAAGTGTCTTCCCTAAAGCCCCTGACCCATTTAGACCAACCATCCCCCCACCCACACCCCCTCTGGCAGCCATCAGTTTGCTCTCTGTATTTAAGTGTCTCTTAGGCTTTGTTCCCCTCCTTGTTTTTATATTATTTTTGCTTTTCTTCCCTTATGTTCATCTGTATTGTATGTTATTCCGTATATGAGTGAAGTCCTATGATATTTGTCTTCATCTGACTAATTTCACTTAGCATAATATACTGTAGTTCCATCCACATTGTTGCAAATGACAACACTTCCTTCTTTTTGATTGCCAAGCAATACTCCGTTGTATATATATATACACCACATCTTTAATCACTCATCCATCGATAGACATTTAGGCTCTTTCCATACTTTGACTGTTGTTGATAGCGCTACTATAAAAGTTGGGGTGCATGTGCCCCTTCAAACAGCACACCTGAGTCCCTTGGATAAATGCCTAGTAGTGCAATTGCTGGGTCGTGAGTAGTTCTGTTTTTAATTTTTTGAGGAACCTCCATACCATTTTCCACAGTGGCTGCACCAGTTCATGCACACTCATTTGTGAGTTCCTTTTGCAAGAATTACATGGAGTTTTGGAGGTAGGGGCTTTTCATCCACTGGCCGGGCGTCTTTGCTCATTTCACTTCAGAAATAAGTACCGAATACTATTCTGTGCCAGCCACTGATCTAAGGGCTTCATATACATGAATCTAGTTAACTATTGTAACAACCCTAATACTGTTTAGATGAGGAAACTAAGCATGAGTGATGTTAGGTATCTTTCCAAGCCTGCACAGTTAATCAGTAGCAGACCCACAGTGTAAACCCAGGCAGTCTACACTCAAAAAGCATTTCACAAGATCCAGGAACAAAGAGCACCTCAGATTTTAGCCTGTCTCCCCATTTCCAAACACACGCTCCCTTAATGCCCTTTAATGCACATGCTACATCTGCACGGCCAAGAAGTGGAAATACAGATATAAACCATGGTTAACAAGATGGATATGGGGGATCCAGGGAATTGATCATGTTTCACAGTAATTTCGAATTTCATAAAGACATAAGTCCAGAGGAGTTTGTTAATTATTACACTTCATTTCTAATCTCTGCCCTTCCTTTCTGTCCTCAGGATGTTACCCTTTTATCACCATCTTACAAAACAGACAGCTGAGTGCTGTGTGGCTCCTCTGGTCGCCTGAGAGCACACCACCAGTCAGGGGAGGTGGGGGGAGCTCCAGCTCAGGTTCTCCACACCCTCCCTGTGTGCTACTCCAGACAGCACGTTATTCTGTATCAAATTACTTAATTTCTCAAATACTTAATGACTTGGGAAACAAAAGACAAAAAAAAACTTAAGACAAAATACACCCATGTTGTGTCTTTTGCAAATTCTACCCCCTTCCCTTCCCTTAATTCCTAATTAGAAAATGTAACAGCTACACTTGTTGGGTGCTAGCTAGGGACTAGACCCTGTTAAATAGTTGCACATATTATCTCTTTGAAGGGGCTTACAATTAGGGAAACTAAAGTTAGGAGGTATCATGTTATTTTTATTTTTATTCTATTCTATTCTATTCTATTCTATTCTATTCTATTCTATTCTCTTTTTTTTTTAGAGAGAGAGAATGATTGGGTAAAGGGGCAGAGGAGGGGAGAGAGGGAATCTCAAGCAGCCTCCACGCTCAGTGCAGAGCCTGACGCGGGTCTCAGTCCTACAACCCTGAGATCATGACCTCAGCAGAAATCAAAAGTCGGATGCCTAACCGAATGACCCACCCAGGTGCCCCATGTATCATCATTTTATGAAAAAGAAAACTGAGGCTCAGAACGGGTAGGAGGCTTACCCCAGGTTACAGAGCAAGGGAGTGTTGGGGCCAGGATGGCTTCCAGTGGTTTCAGCCCCACGCTTCACCGAACCCTTATGAATACTTTCTCTCCTAGCAATGAACAGTTTTTTTCTGAATTACCGTAGAGCTGAAAAAGCTTGCAGAAATCAGTGGCAACTTCCAGATCTGATGATGTATCAGTAACCCTTGTGGCATAAGCTATGGGTCATAGAAGACATCCCTCCCAGGATCTTTGGCTCTGTCTCTGGATCGTCTGTCTACCTTTTCCTGTTTTTGGTTCTTATACTGCCTTAGCTGTCTTACATGATCACTCACTTTCCCTTTGATTACCCCTTCTCCTCCACAGCACTCTCACTCACTGCTCCTCCCCCACCCCCACTTTTCCCTCTAAATCCCTCCCTGCTTATCTCTCATTAGAAATGTGTCGCTGAAGCATGTTTCCACTATTGTAGATAATAATTTAATAATAACCTAATAATATTCTGGTTCCCAATTCAAAGTTTCAGAGTTGATGAATAATACAT